TACAAATAAAAGAATGGTTTGTACTTTTATCCAAAGAGCAAGATTAATTTAACAATGAATTGCATCACTTCTCAATTTTGGTAGATTCACTGTTGCCAAGGTATCTGTCTCATATCAGAATAGGAAGAGGTTGGACTGGTACAGCCCTGGCCTGAATGAAACAGTATTGGGGCTTAGAAAAAACTTAGTGTATAGAAACTACGTTTAGAAATGTACTAAATCGACTTGTGTAAGTATAATGATGATGCATTTCCATTCGTTTTTAATCCCCTCTGCTTTTGACTCATATTGACTGCATGTTGTACCAGTTTTAAGCACTAGAGGTCAGGAGTGCACAATTTTTAACATCCTTATGCAAACTAAGCTCATTGTGGTGTCTGGAATGACTGCAGTAACAATAAATCTACAAACACAAATCTTTTGCAGTCTGTTTAAATTTTGTCATTCACTCGGTCTCTCCAATGAGTGGGGAAAAGGGAAAACTGGCTCCAGGATTTCCCTGGACCCGGTTCTCTAATGGCACTGCTAGAGGGCAAGGTTTAACCACAGCAGGACAGATAAACCTGAGAGCCCTCCTAAATTCTCAGGTTTTTGCAATTGAGCTCCTGATGTTTTGTGCCATTATTTAGCATTTAAAAAAAATATTCATGTGAAAAATAAATCCTCACCCTCATTGCAGGCACGTCATGTCTTTTTCACTCTCAGATTTGAACTCTTGGTGAGAAATCCTCTAAAACCTTTAAAAGCCAGCATAGTGCTGCTGTTTTATGCAACTTGTAGTTTTGGTAACATGAACCACATGCTTCACACACATCAGTCACAGCAGTGTTTCAGATATGAAGTGAGTGGGAACAGTTATTAAATTGTATGTGTGTGTGTGTGTGTGTGTGTGTGTTGCTTTATCTCATTATGAGGCTAACTGCCTAATTAGTTCTGGTGGCTTACAAAGACAGATTAAAATGATCCTCTTTTTGTGAATAGCTTTAGAATCCAACATGAAAATAGTCAAACAGCCCCCTTAAGGCTGAGAGATAGAAATGTTCTTTTAAAACAATGACTCATTTTTGACAGCATTTTTCTTCTAAAATTGTCCTGCAACAGCATCACATGAATTGTGCAACTCCTTTGTGGACAAATGACTAAAAACTTTTAACAAGCTGATGCCTCCTAGCTGTCATGGTGCGACTCAAACCAATTATTTCTGTGACGATGGGAGTGTGAGGTGCAGCTGTAGACCCTGCTTGGACATGGACACATCTTGCCAGTTTGTCCTTCTGTCACATCCTACTGTGATATTTTTTAAATGGCCAACTTCCCCCTGTCAAGTATCATTTTTTCCCTCACTGTGGTGTCTGCTCTGCATACACTGAATGCAGCCCTGTCCTCTGAAAGGTCCCTGAAAATGCAGAATGTTTGAAGATATTAGAGAGAAATGAGGTGAAGACTGGGCAGATTAACCAGTTTAGGGGCAAAGCATCTGCTGTGGGCAGAAGAACACCTGTGCTGTAGCTGACATTTATTTTAATAATACATCATATAACAAATAAAGGTGTAAAAATTAAGTTGATGTTGGCTCCTCCACAGCAGTTATGGATCCACACACTATAGGGCCACAGGAAGGGATCTCTCATTATTTATTCCTTTTTCCCCCTGCATTGGAAATTGTTAGATTTTTGTGGTCAGTAATTCTTTCAATCATTTGCTCTTGCATTAAATTTGCATTCAAATCTATGATGAACTCTCTGACTGTCAGCGTATTCAAACTGTGGAATGGTTGCCAGAAGTCCTCTTTCCTAATAAAAGTGGTCATTGCAAACTGAATATGTGGTCAAGGTGTGAGAAAGATGTGGCGTGGAAACGGCGGTAACATATGAATGTGAATGTGTGAACGCTAAACGGCATCACCATTGTTGCCCAGGAATCCAAAGACTCCTACTGGGTCCCCGCCCTCTGGGCTTGTGCACCTGGAGGTGGTTGAGTCTTCACATCTGCTGGCAGTCATTCATCACCTCTGCTATTTAAGGCTGAAGAAATCCTCCAGTTGACACCAGATTGCACTAGCTCTGGTAGTGTGGTTCAGCTCCTCGTACTGGCCCAGTGTTCAAGTTTGCCTTCTGCTGTTCTGCAACTCCACCTCTTCTCTGTGCAGAAGGCCTGTGTCGAAGAGTGGCCGAGAGACCAGTGTGGCAAGATTCCCATGAGAGAGATTCAGCGGACTTCCCTTTTGTTTGTCTCATTGTCTGAATACCTGTGACCTCGCTGTGTTGAAAAAAGCTGGTAAACTTCTATTCCGAGCCCAGCGATCGAGTCCAACTGTGAGGCCCGCCTCGAATAATATTGTAAAATATTTAAGATGCAAGTGAACAAATTATACAAGAAAGCGAAACAGGCATAAACCTGTGTGTGTGTGTGTGTTTCTGAACTCCTCACTTGTTTGGGTTGTAATCACACCGTGGCAAATGTTGCTGTTTTCCTTTAACACTGTAAAGGTCAGCCTGCTGGTTCTGAGAACAGATCTTCCTGCTGGTATAAATGAACCCCCGAAATGTAATCAAACTGCTGTTCCACTGACAATAAAACTGTAAGCAGCCATGTTTGTGGAACGTGTTGAGTAGAGTTTTGTGGACTGTGTCCTGCACACAGACGGCAAACAGAGGAAACCAGACACTTTTTTTTTTTTTTAAATTAGTGTCAGAAATGATTAGTAGTTACCCGTCTTTGTTTCACCGTGCTGACCAGAATGGCTACATTTATCTGTGAGCTGTATTTTTAATGGAAGAACCATGTGGGACACACAAACAGTGTTTTAATATCTTAACCCATTCTCATTTAATAGTAACACACTTACATCAGTTTGATGCTGCACACAGCAAATGCCACCTATAGCTGTTTTTCTTAGTCTTAACAAAGAACATTAAGAACAAACTTTAAGGTACACACACACACACACACACACACACAACAAAACTAAAGATTTTTCCTTCATAATTATTTCCTAGGCCTCGTGCACTTCTTCCATTGTGGGTTCATGGTACTTCTTGTCATACTTCAATTGTAATTTGCTTCAGTGGTCCTCGTTCATCATTTGACCCAAGTAAGATCTCTGCGCGTTTGCTAAGAATTTTGAAAGACTAACTTAACACCATAATTTGCTGGATGCTGACTATTACAGTAGAGTTACCAGTACAACTAACCACAGATGTGTTTCATCCTATTAACTGTTAGATGAGTAACACTGACTCACATGCTGCATGACTTTCAGAGCAGCGTTGTGTGCTTTGTTCAGTGAATGAACTGAGTGTGCTACATTTAATCATAATTTGAACACAGGGCTTGCTGCCTTCTTAAAAGTAGGTATTTTTTCATCCTTCTGCCTGACGATAAAGCCAGCACTGATTGATTTTACTGTGAAATAAATAAAAGTGTTCAGTAGCTGTGATGCAAAGGACGATATATTATCCTCTCTGGGCTCATTGATTTTAGTGCTCTTTATCCAGGAACCTGCTGCCAGTTGGCACAGTCACCAGAAAGGAACAAGAAGGCTTTTTGCAGTGTGGAAAGTGGAAATGGCTTAACTCCCACTAATAGATTATGGCTTTAGATCAACAAAGAGCAGTCGGTGGGATATTGGATGGACCAATAGGATTTCTGTGAACAGTGGGGGGACTGTGGAATAGGCCAGGAGGATTGGAACAAGCAGTGAAATGACAAGACTGGCAGTGCAGATCTAGAATCCTCACTACACTCACACCATAAATAGAAAAGACACAAAACACCTTTGTGATATTAGAAGTGAGTTTTATTAATCACAAATAGAGTGGTTCTAAAATGAACAAAAAATAACCCAAGCAGGCCCCAAAAAGACATTCTGCTGCGTGTACATTTGGATCAGAGGATCGGGTACGCTGTATATCAGTCTTCCAGCAGAGCTGGATCACTGGAACGCAGCCATCCTTAAACTGAAAGACAGCACAGAGTGAACCTGCCAGTATAACCTCCACCATCACTGCCTGGAAACAGCCTGCAGACACACTCGCTCAGGACTCCCTGTCGAGTCAGTGCAGACCTGTGTAAAGATGCGATACAAGACTTCTTTGCTGTTTGTGAGCTTAACTGTCCATGAACTCTGGATTATAAACTTCACTTACATCTTGCACAGTCCCAGCTCCTTTATCATTGAATGGGTCAGCTCTTAATTTCATCTTCCTTTCTTGTAGATTGGTGCCGTTCTTAACGCTACACAAGGTTGGTGTTTCCTGACACCAACTGTGCCCCCTCATTTTTGTACAGGGTAAATGTTTAAACCCGGGATGTCGGACTCATTTTACATCAGGGGTCACACTTTGGTCTTAAGTGGACCAGACTAGTAAAAATTCCCTTTCTGTAAATGTAAATAAGTGTAGCTGCACATTTAATCCCTGCAATATCTCGGTATACAAAAAAGAAGTGCAATTTCACCAGCACGTCTCAGTTTTACTACATGATAAAGAAATGCTGCTCTGTATAATAAAAACACATGCTAGCATGACTCTTTGGGCTTAAATTGTAAAAAAGCAAATGTGTAAAATGACAGAAAAAGTTCTGGTTGCTCATTGACCAGACTGTCCTGGAGAAGAGCAAGTTTTTGTTAATTCACGAAAAAATGTCCAGTTTTACTTACTTTACCATGGATACAGGCTTTTCTACTTTAGATAGTGGAAAAAAAAAGCAGTAACTTTTCTGTCATTTCATTATTTATTTATTACTTTGATGCAGTATGAAAGACTGTGGGAGAGGTCTTCACCCCTAGGACAAGCTGCAAAATTTATGAAAATACATTTAAAAGTCCGAAACGTGTGAAAGATGTCCAGCGGGCCGGTCTTATGACCCTGAGTATGACACCCCTGGTTTAAACAGTGTTGTGAAGACCTGAAACATTTCCCCGCCAGCACAGAGAAGAATAAATAACATACACAAAACAAAAAGAAAAAAGTCAGTACTGACTAAATTGGTCTTTCAAATTTTCTTTAGGGATTTTATTTTGAAATACCAATCAGTGTTAGAAAACCCGGATAAAGACATTATAAACCAGAGCTCACAGAAACCGCCCTGCTGTGGGTTTCAATCTGTTTTTTTCTAATAGTGCTACATGTCTTTACTAAAAATAATTCCCACAATATAGAGGCACTATTATTTTTCACTTCAACGCGTCTACAGCTCCAAATCTATGTAAAAAGCTATTTACAAATTTGCAGATATGTAGGGGAGTGGAGACTTTTGGTGTCATCATTCCTCTCAAACGCCGCGCTTGTGGTTAAAGAAAAGGAAAAACACGAAGCCGTGACTGCACGGCAGAAGCTAGAGGTGGGACCGTGCACGTGAAACCGCACTAGTCTGAAGCCTGAAGGCACTTAAGAGGAATGAACTATGCACAAATGACGAGGTGAAATGTCTGATTCTCACCACACTGTGCAACTGCAGCAGGACTCATTTGTGACCTTATTTGGGCTAATAGTACACTTCCACAGTGGAACACGTTAGATTCAGTGTTGATGTGCAAATGACCGGCAGATCGTCTCTACCACAACTGATAATTGGTTAACATTTGACCGCATTTCCTCTGTTGAAAACCTCGAGCACAGCTGAACAAGAGATTCTTCTTATCTGCATGAAGGTTACAGCCTTTAAAAGTCTGGTTAGAGAGCGAACACTGAGGGAGAGAACTGTTTGTTCTCAATGCTTTTAAAAAACTGCCTCAAGAAGCTCTTGCTCACGTGTTCTGAATGATCTGATAAAATGTTACCCTTCTTTCAGTCCTACAAATGGAAAGAGTTTCATATCGCCTCAAACGGGAGTTTTGAAAACATTTTTTCACTTTACATGATCTTGCGAAAGAGAAAAAAACAAAACAAACAAAAAACACCAAATAGCTATTTACAATTAGTACAAGCGTTAACCCTCCAGACCCCCGACAGCCGAATCTCACTGTAACACTGCTGTCAGCTCAGTTCTGTTCACCATCAGCTTTGCTCAGAAAACCAAAAGGCTTCAACTGAAACCTGAAAGATTTATTTTTCTCTCCAATTAAAACATCCAGTCGCTAAACCCAGGAATAAACCAGATGCAGGTCTGTCGTCGTGTCATGTGTTTCGCTCTGTTCTCCACCCGGCTTCAAATCTTGCTGAAAGGTCTGAGACGCAGCGCTTTGAGCCTGAACAGGGTCTTTTATTCTGAATACTAAATCACCATGCTGAGTGACTGATAAGCGCAGAGTTGCTCCTGGGACTCTTCTAAAATGTGCTTTTGCACATCTGGTGAAATCAAACACACAGTTGTGAGTAAGCCACTGGCTCCGGTGGCTGTGTCACACAGCTGGAACACAAAGCAGCTGTGCCATGTGTAGAAGTTAACTCTGTAAAAAAACGCTGTTCCAGCATGTGGTCTACCTCATGTTGTTGGGACTTTCAGTACCAGCTGAAGATTCAGTAGTTTAAATAACCCGCTAACAGCTTTGTCTTGATTATCAGCAGAAACTCTTTTAAATACCATTTACTTTGTCAACAGTCCACAATCATTCTTGTCCATCTTCTTTCGGGGTCTGGAAGGTTAACATACAAACCCTGTATTAATATTACTATGATTAATATAGTGAAGAAATCTACATATGTATGACAGCTAAACTCGACAGCAACTTCAATATATACAAGATTAACAGCGAGCAGAGAAGGACACTTAAAATCAAGAAAACGCAGCACTGATCGTGTACAGTGTTTCACAGCATTTGACTGGCACTCTTCAAAGCATCTTACTAAGACTATCTACAAACATCAACATGGAAGTCTGTCATGACACAAGCTGGACAATCCCAGCCGACAAATTCAATATGTAAGACCGCCGATATGCTACTACGAGCCAATTTTCACTTGTTTCTTTCATCTGCAAAGGTGTAAATGCTTACAACTTTATGCAAAGGGGTTTGTGTTACATCATCTCTTTTAATCCCACCCCCAAAAACAAAAAAAACCAAAACATGTTAGTCATTTACAAATACTTAAAAAAGTAAACCTTTATATATAGGCATTTTAAAATATATTCCATCAAAAATAGTCTGACAAATTTTAACAGTAGAAAAGAAATGTTATAGAAATGACAAAAGGTTTGAAACTGAATGCTGCCAGCAGACAGAGCTGTCATGATAGACTGACTGTTCTACTGGACACAACAAACACGTGACTCCTGCTCGCCGCCTGCTTTAGAGTTTAAAACCATGCAATCACTGTAACTGAAGAACGCCAGAATTTAGCAAAAGAACTCGGTTGAAGATAATAAAGTTAAATGAATCTCAGTCCCTATGCGCATACTATTTTTTTTTTTTTACACATTATTGTCATATGAAATCCCACCACATTTGGCAAGCTTGTGTAATTGGATTTCAGGCATGCTGAGAGCTCGGTGCACGAACTGCGGCAGCTCCGTGGTCGGACAGTGTGGAGGGCAGACCCGTGTGTCACAGCTTTCACTCAGCACAACAGCCCCCGTCGTCTTTTTCAGATCACAAACGATGACTTGTGTCGGAAATCCCCCTGCAGACAACGCGCAGGAAACAACTCATCGTTATTACATTATCACACGGCGCCAGAGCGCCATTCTTTCCACGCTTCTCCTCTCAGTGTGTTTGCTTGTCTATTTGGCACAGATCTTAATGTCCAGGCTTTCTGCAAGTTCGCTTAACAGTTGAGATTTTTTGGACTTTTTTTAGTGCTGCATAATAGAAAAACAACATTCTGCCAGCTGAGGGGAATTTAAGTGAGACAGGTGTCGGAAAACAAACTCTTTTAGTCGACTACGACATCAGCACTGCCTGCCGTGAAATGATGGCTCTCATTGTTCCCAGCAGACTCCCGTGTTCAGTGTTGCTGAGCCGATACCTCATACAGAGTCTGAATTTAACTTTGCAAAGGTTCTTCAAAAAGTAATATGATGAGGGGCAGAGAGGCCCTGTTTTCTCTGTTACAGGCAGCAACACGATGCTAAGTATTTGGGTAGCTGTTGCTTTCAGACCTGTGCAGACCTGGAGACTAAATACAGCAGCGTAATCACCGCTGTCAGCATGCAGCACACTGTAGTTACAGTTACAGGCGAGTCCTTCAAATGAAAGCTTTAAGAAAGCAACCAAGTAGTAATACTTTCATTTCTTTTCTCCAATCTTTGAATTTAATTGAATTCTGTTTTCATAATGAATTAGTGACAGAAACAAAGTTTGTCTTTGGACACTTTTTTACTCACTTTCTGTCCGGTCCTTGTACCTGATCACTTTTATTGATACATGAATCATTCAATCATAAATATTAGCACCTAACTGGAGCAGTATAGCAGACTGCATTTTCACTTTATTTGCAATTGACGTTTAGCAACAAAATGCCTAAAAGTACAAACGGCCACACAGCCAGACTATCTACTAACCTCATCCTCCGTCCTGACGTAGTCCACTCCATCTCCTTTAGCTGGAACTTTGTAACTAAAACACACAAAGCACATCCGGTTTTTGGGCGACATGTGGAAGTGGTGCTGGTTACAGTTACATTAGTAGTCTGGAATCTTACTTGTTCCCCGTCTGCTGTTGGCTGGAGAAGTAGCCTTGTTTGTAAGCACAGCAGATGCCCACCGTTATACATAAGAGCACAACGACCACCACCAGCACTCCCAGGATGATCCCCACTATGTCAATATCATCTGTGGAGTTCAAATGCAAGTAAAAACTTAAACACTGACGTTTGGATTCCTTTCAACAAATCTAGTACTATCTGCATTCAATAAACACAACAGATTTATTTCCAAAGGAAACATGCATACTTACACACTTCCATCTTCTGGGGTCCACACTGAGTGTGCCCTGCATCATTCTTCGCTCGACAATAGTACTCGCCTGCGTCTTCTTTCCTGACTGAAATGAACTTCTGTGTGAGACAAAAGACAAACCTCTGCTTAATGCAAACTCCCTAAGTGAAGCTCATAGTCTTTTTTTATGCAGACGTTTTATTCTAATTAATATAATAGATAAATATAGGTGAGTGGAACTATGCACAGGCAGCTGTTACAGAGGGAAACAACTGTAGTGACCGTTACTGTGAGCAGAGGGGACAGACAGGTAGAGATTTGCATTGTGCAAATACAGAGACAGTGCCATGAGCATGTGAAGAGATGCAAGATAGGAAAATTAAACAGACTGCTGTCTGCTGCGCACTTTGGATTCAGCGAAGGACGGAGTTAAAGCTACATCTTACACATACATATATAATATTCACCCTGGTCATACAAGTGAAACTTTACATTTAAAAATGATTGGGCGTCTTTTGGATCATCAGTGTGTGGTAACTGCACGGACATTCATGCCCCTTAAGTTATTCTAAACATTACACATTAAAATGATCAAATAAATGTAAACACACTGATATCAGTGATTTCAAAGTGAACCGTAAAGTAAAATAAAAGCATCTGTTGAGTTTGTGCCCACCTCTCACACACACTTATAACGCTAAGAATAATTCTCAGACAAATTGTCATCTTCAAACAGTTACCGTCACTCATTTTCCAAGTGTTAAAAAAGCCTGAACGTCAAAGTACAGGTGTTAACATTGCAGGTGGATTAGCTGTCTAAATACGTCGAGAGTGCAGGAAATGATCACGATGACGTGATCCAAACATTAAAAATCAAACTTGGACTGAATTTAAATACAACTGTTTAAGAGATTAAGGTTGTTTTTTTTTGGAAAATATTTTTATTGAAAAAAGAAAACAACAGTACTTGCAGTTACCAAAATACAATCAACCTTTCTTCATTTTCCTAAGTAAATAAACACACATATATATGAAAAAAAAAAAACCACAACGCCCCC